AGGTCAGAGGAGCAGGCTCGGCTTTTTGATCCGCACCCATCCGCAAGCGGTGAAAACTGTCCTTGCCAATGTTTGATTTGTGGGTGGAGTTTGTGAATGCAGCGGCAGAGGTTTTCTCTGGAGGGGTTTAAAGCTCGAGCAGGGGAAGCTACTCTTTTGCCCTGCACGGCCTTCTAGGGCGGTGAAGCCCTACCTCCAGTCACGGACTCGCCGTGTTTGTTCACATTTCTGGCGCTCTACACTGATGGAATATCAACTTCCAACTCCTTTCAAGTCACATAAAGGCAAGCGGCAAGCCATGGCTTTTTTGGGGGGGTGAACTCAGTGAGAACTGCTCAGGATCGCTCAGGACTCCTTGGCGCCGGGATTCTGTCCAATTTCCGTTGGCGCTCGGTCTTTCCGAGGTAGATCGCCCCGACCAGTATTTTCCAGGGGGGTCTTTCACTTGGAGATCTCCCGATTTTAAAGCTTCAAGAGAAACGGGAACGGTGAAGGCTGCTCCCAAAAAAGGCCCCACCGCCGTTCCACCGCGAAAGACTTCGCCCCCAATAGTCCTTAGGTTCATAGGCCATCAATCTCAGCCTCGTCTCAATCGCCACCCCGACCTCGACTCGGGCGGCTCGGGCTCCCAGCGCGGGGAACGCCGCGCGGGGAACGCCGCGCGCGAACGCCACGCCATGGTGCCATGCCGCTGCCGCTCCGGGGACCCGGTTTCCCGGACGCCCCGCGGCCGAAGGCGGGAGCGACCGGGCGGGAGTCCCGGGATGCGCGCCCAGGCAGGGCTCCATCCAGGCAGGTGCTAGGTAAATGCTGAGCTATGGTGACTGTGAGTTTGAGTTGAGAGTTGCATTTGGTCAGGAGAGGAGCCATCTGGGTCAAAAGAGTCCTACATTCTGTTTTCCCGACCTTCTCCAGACACTCCTGTTCGGTTCGCCGGAGTTCACGGAGAAAGAGCTTTGACGGCGAAAAAAAATCTGAGGCTCTTTTGAGGTAGCTCTTGGTGGCCCTAAGGGCCGTAAGGAGTTGAAGGAGGATGGTAGTTCCTAGGAGCTATGCTTGGAGGTGTTTCTAGCGATCGGCTGTCAGGTTTGAACCGTTAACTCGCAAAGAGGGACGCCGAGGAGCGAATAGAGAAGGACCGACGATGGATCTTATGCACCTGTCTTGGTTCGGGATCTTAGTTCTTGAAAAGGCATCAGGTCGGTCATCATATCTTCCCAAATCGTGTGTCTTTCCACTTCGTTTTGGTTCCACTTCACTTCCACCCCTCCTCATGCCCCTCCTCCATCGCCGGTTCCTTGACTTCCGGCGAGGTGAACTACCGGGCGGTGGGCCGCGGCACGGGAGGGGTTTGCAAGAAGCGGATCCCGACCTTCATCAAGGACCCGGCAAGTGCTTGCGCCAATCTATGGCCGGGTACGCGGGGGTACGCGGGGGTACGTGGATGTCAGGTGTTGGGAAGTGGGTGATTGGTGTGAAGGGAGGAGACCCCTTCTTTTTTCATATCGAGGATGTGGCCAATAGGTTCGTAGATTTTGTCCGATACATAACGCTCATAATACATTATACCGTATACCCTAGCTATAGGCTTCTAACCACCATTAATTTAATAGGCTTTACCGAAGCAACCAAGGGTTTTACACTACAAAAACCAGGTCAACCATTTTTTAAGGGTCTTGGAAGGTCTTGGCGAGTCATGCCGCGATTCTTCCAACCAGCCGTTTCCGGGGGCGGTGTCCGATCACCGGCTGAGTGTGTGGCCAGGATGTTGACCCCCCGACGCCCAGCAGCGTACCGACCAAGTACCAGACGGTCTTGCCGCTGGGTCATGGACTGGGCGGGCCTTTGGTGACAGATAGGTGGCCTTGGTTCTCCAACAGTGGGTGTGTAATTTTCGGAGTCCTCGGAGAAGGTGTAGATCCATTTACCCACTGGGCCCACAAAATCTTCCTCTTCAGCACAGAACAACCGTGGGGATTCGGTGTTGGCAGCACCCCAACTCAAAAGCCTGCTGCTTTTGGGGGCCGCCTGGTGCACCTCATTCTTTCGGGCCCGGACTCGCCATGATCCGAGACTCCCTGTCCACCGCCCCGGAGAACCAAGTGGAACCAACGCACACCGCTGCCGAGGTATGGCCGGAACCGGGAGCGGCACGGGTTCGCCTCGCAGGCGCCCCGCTTCGCGCCCGGCCGCGCGTCCGCGACGCCGGGGCCCGGGTGCTACGCCGCGGAGCCGGAGCCGGCGGAGCTGGAGCTGGGAGCGCTGGTAAGCGAGGTGCCCATGAGGGGCAAAGGACGGATGGGGGTGGAGGAAGGTGGTGATGGGGGTGGGGGGTGAATGGTGAAGGTGGGTGGGTCTAAGAATTATAGGCGCATCTCATGGCACCTTTTCATGAAGCAGAAGGCTCCAGAAAAGGCCCTTGAGGGAACCATCCAATCATCCAATGCAGCATCAAACCATCAGAAATATGCATCAACACACCAGTTCCAACTGCATCCTTTCAAATCCTCAAGTTTCTGGAGATCTCTCCATGTCCGTCGCCACGTCAGACCAGGACCTTTTGCCTCTCGCACTCCGCGCCTGCCTCATACCTCCAAGATCCACGGTTACGTCCCTCCGGGCCCCGGCACCTACGGCGCGACGACCGGCAGCTCCGCGTCGCCTCGCGCGGCGTCGCCCAGCGCGTGCTTCGTGCTGCCCGGCGCCGGGAATCCGGCGAAGTACTGCGCGGAGCCGGAGCCGGGGCCGGGGAGCTACTTGGGCACCGATGTGGTGGTGCCTTCAGGAGCTTTATGGTCTGTTTTGGTTCTTCGGTAGGTGTGGGTGCATCTGTTCTGAACAGATGTTTTTTCAGCAGTTCCTTGTTGAAAGGTCGGAGCTTCTGTCAGATGTGTCGCGGTGACCGCCGTCGTGACCAGGAAGATCAGCAGCCACTGCGGTCTTTGGCAGCAGCCCCCGCAAGACGATGCACGGCCAGGAGTCCGACCGGCCAGGACCTGGCCAATATGATCAGGCCGCCTTCATTTGAGTGGAGCTATGAGGACATATCTGAGGACCTGCTATGACCTTTTCTGGACATGCCTACATTCGTACATGCTGGTCTGGCGTACTCGTACGTGACGGCTACTTGTATACTGCGGTTCCCACTTGTCTAGCACACCCACCTCAAAAGGCTTCACACTATACTCTTCGCACCGGCGCCTTCGTTCTTTTTGCGACCCGAAGCTGGGTCGCAGGTTGTGCACGATGACTCCCTGGAAACTCATGGTGAAGTGGATGGCATGGCCCCGAAGACTCGGGAGTGCCATCCACTTCCACCATGTAAGTGCCAGGGACGTGATATGATATCATCAGCCCAGAGCGGGTCAATTCACGGCTTGGGCGGGAGCCGCGTGCGAAGAGGTCGATGCAGAGGAGCGGATGAGGAGCACCCAGAGGCCCAGTCAGAAGCGCCTGGTGCACGAGCCGCCCCTCGGAGGGTCGTTGGCCCGGGCGGTTGCCGGTCATGGGTGAAGGGTAGGGCTACAGTAGCACTGATTTCGCAAGGGGTTTGGACCAAGACGCACCAAGACCCTACGCAACACAAGTACAGAATAAAGCAAAACAATTAATGACGTTTTCCTTGAGTGCGAGTCCCATCCTTCTTTCAAAACTGGCTCGTGCCCTCTCCCAACACCGACCCTCCCAGGCTGGACACCGAAACGGCGCAGCTCCGCCGCGGCACCGAGCTGCTGAAGACCCTGGACGCCTCGCCGCGCGGCACGCGCCACGACGCCTCGCCGCGACCCGCGGAGCCGAGCGGCGCCGAGTGCGGCGCCGTGCCGGGGCCCGGGCAGTATGACATCCCGCGGCTGGAGGAGCGGAGCCAGATGGATGATGTATGACAAAAATATGGCAGATAGATACTCAGCGCATCTCAGCATGGAGACCGGCTCCGAGTTCTTACTGTACCCCTTTCTTCTGCTTCTTCGCAGCTGGGAGACCGTTGAGCGTGTGCGCGGCGCGTGCGCCGCAAGCACCGCATGCAGGTGGTGCGTGGGACTGGTTCGAAGGGGCTGAGCAGCTTTCACATGGGGAAGTCGCATCATCCAAGAACCTGGAGAGGCGCAAGGGGAGCTAAACGGGCGCAGGGGCAGAGGTGGGGCAATGGGGGTGGATGGTTTCATGTGGGGAGTGGTTGGCGAACCCTGAAATTGAATCCAAAGGTGGGATTGGAGGCCTCGAATGGACTCTAACATGCGTTTATGAACACAACTTCATTTGGGTTTGTTTGAGCATTTCCCTTGTTCACGAAGAGATCAACGAAACAAATTAGAGGAAGCATCCCTCTCGAAAACGACGATCCAGGATCAGATGAGAAACAACATGACCCTTCACACATAGTGGACGTGGACATCATCCCCGTCCGCCCGCTTCGGTGTTTGCGCTCGAGGCCCCGCACCGGGCCCGACGGATTACGCGGCCCCGGTCGAGGGCCACCTGGGCCGGGCGAAACCGCCGCTCAGCACCATGGTCTCGCGCAGCGCACGCTTCGGCACGCCGCGCTGCCGCGCGCCGGGGCCTGCCTACTACGAGGTGAGCGCGCAGATCCAAAGTGCGGAGGGCTGCGGGTGCGGGAAGGTGTGGGTGGATCGGACTTGACATGGAGCACGTGGAGTTCGAGGAGCACTAACAAGGTCTATTATTTAACATGATATAACAAGGATATGTCGGAGTAAGATGGAGTAAGTCAGTAAGTTAAGCAACAAGTGAGGGAGAAGTCTGGAAGGAGGACGAACGGAAGGAATTCCGAAGTGATGAAAGCATGGCCAGAAGAATGAGTGGTCATTTGACCATGCCTAATATATTTGTAATTCATAACCCTGAAGAACTAAATGTGTGATACAATTTTATATTTAGTGAATTCAAAAAATGCAATAATAATGACACGGAGAATGGGTTCCCATTGTTTGGACCCAATCGCATTCTCATGCGGGTGTGTATCAGAAAAAGGTGAGACCTCCCAACCTCCCAAATCCCCCTGGAAGAAGAAACACCTATAACCCGTTGGGCCACGGGGGGTCTCCCTATGAAAATGCCCACCCAATCGTCAGAGCGGTCTGTCCCCGTCTTGCGTATGTTCGTTTCTCCTGTGCTGGTTTAGCGTAGTTGCCGGGGTTACGGGGTTAATCCGAGGCATCCGCGCGGTAAAAACGGTAAACATCGAAATTTTTCTTTTTTTACCGTTTTTACCGCGGGGGCGGCCCTTTTTTCTCTACCATCGCCGCGGTAAAAACGGTAAACATCGAAATTTTTCTTTTTTTTACCGTTTTTACCGCGGGGGCGCCCCTTTTTTCTCTACCATATCCGCGGTAAAAACGGTAAACATCGAATTTTTTTATTTTTTTACCGTTTTTACCGCGGGGGCGGCCCTTTTTTCTCTACCATATCCGCGGTAAAAACGGTAAACATCGAATTTTTTATTTTTTTACCGTTTTTACCGCGGGGGCGCCTCTTTTTTCTCTACCATATCCGCGGTAAAAACGGTAAACATCGAAATTCTTCCTTTTTTACCGTTTTTACCGCGGGGGCGCCCCTTTTTTCTCTACCATATCCGCGGTAAAAACGGTAAACATGGAAATTTTTCTTTTTTTACCGTTTTTGCCGCGGGGGCGCCCCTTTTTTCTCTACCATATCCGCAGTAAAAACGGTAAACATCGAAACTTTTCTTTTTTTACCGTTTTTACCGCGGGGGCGCCCCTTTTTTCTCTCCCATATCCGCGGTAAAAACGGTAAAAATCGAAATTTTTCTTTTTTTATTTTTTTACCATGTTTCCTGCGGGGTCGCGAAAGTATACCCCTTAGCAAATCAACGCTCGCGAACCGGCTTAGCGTTTCTCTCCCTGTTCGTTTCTCACCAGGAATTCGATTCAACTCGAGGTGACGAAGTCCCGAAATTTGAGGATTAGAAGCTTCGAGTTCGTTCCAGTCTTCATTGAGATGTAGACCCTGTAGTAGACCCAGAGCTGCCGTTCGACCACCGCGCAACGAGCATAGTTCACTTCATGCTCGTTGAGAGTCATCTGACACATGACTCGACCCATGACCCACGTTTCAGGTGAAGGTGGAGCGGCCCAACTCTTTCCATTTGAATATGGAAAACACTTGGGTGGCCTAATGGCTGGTCAGATCGTCAGTCTGAGCGGATGCTTTCAGATCCTTGGCGGCGTCGATGACTCGATGACTCGACTCGTCGCAGGGAAGCGGGGAAGCTTGTGGTGGAGAGTGGGGGCATTCAGACTTGCATCACACATGACCCGGACTGGGCCGCCGGGGGTTCCCTTTTTTCCCCCCCCTCCGCATCAAGAAAACGCTTCGCTCCAGAATTTGAGCTGTTCCCTGCGCTTCTTTAGCTCCGCAACTAGTCGGCGGCCGAGTTGCCACATTGTGCTGCAGCTTTCAGGTCTTTGGAAAAGAATCTTGAACCATTTGGTTCGCCCCAAAAGGTTCGCCCCCCCCTTCTTGTGAGGCGTTCGCCTGTGAGTTTGACCGAAGCTCCGCCTCTTGGAACTTGGAACTCGATTCCTGCAGGAGTTGGGCTTTTCAGCTCCCATTCCGAAGGCTGGACATCGCTCTCCGGCCATCCGTTGGTACGGGTCTGGGTGCGGAGAATTTCACCGAAAAAAAGGGGGTCAGGAGTTTTCCTGACTGACAGATGCCTGGCCTGGGTTTTTCCGCACCTGACCTTGGATGCGAGTTTCACCCTGCAGCTCTGGTCAAAGAAGTCCTGGCTCAGGAGCTGTTCGATTCACGACTCGGCACGTGCAACGCGCAGGCGAGAGCCTGGCCGTGGATCGAAAACTGGAGCTCCCGAGCATGGCGCCGTATGCTATGCCGTAGGCCATGATGGCTTGTAGCAGGTTGTTCGTTGTTTTGCATGATGGGTCGGAGGTTTTCAACGGCGGCTGGATTTATGCATGCAATGCAAGTGAGAATATCCCTTCAGCCAGGAGGCTTAGCAGGAAGCAGCGAAGTGAGAGGATTCAATGGCTTCAGGTTCGCGCGTGTGTGTGAGACAATTGTGCTTGCCCGATCTTGCCTGAGCATCAGCTAGTGATGGATCAATTTTGCCCTGGCCACGGTCAGAACGAGTCAAGAACTTTTCTTCGCGCTCTCATTGAAGCAATTGAAGGTAGGCTCAACATGGCTCAACTATGCTCAACTCAATTTCAAGTTCGGAGCCAGCTGGATGAACCGACAGCCCAACCGAGCTTTGATTCCCATTTTCCTCCTGGACCCTGGCCTCCGCCATGCAGCCGGCCCCAGCCGCGCCATGCTCCTGGGCGTGCTCTTGGGCGCTTGGTCGGTGGCCGCGGGGACGCGCTGGTCCGAGTCAGAGCCACTGAGCTATCCGTGCCTTGGACCCTTTTCCTCAAACACTCCGTCCACAGCGGCAGCCTCAAAGCCTGGGATTGGAGAGGTTTTTTGGGCAATAGTGACCTGAACTATAGGGCCCTACAGAGTAACCATGAAGAAAACCTATATTTTGGGGATAGTCGAACTCGGGTTCTTCCACCTCTCGCTTCCGAAAAAGGTGCCCTTTGGATCCTGCCTGACCTCGAACGGAGGCGAAACCAGGTCGTCTGGGAGTCTGGTGTGGTCCTGGAGTCCTGGAGTCCTGGCATCCAAGGCATTACTTGGGCCGAAAGGTCTATGTCCTCAACGGAACCTGGGATGCTTGGAGACGGGAAGAAACGCTTGGAGTTTCTGTCCGTGGCAGAGGTCGAAAGGCATTTCAGATGGGTTCAGCGGATGGAGCAGAGGGGTGTCGAACTGGTTAGACCGTTTTTGGGCTTTCTACTTGAAGCTCCTGTGTCTTTCACGTGGTTTTGCCAGCCTCTGACACGTCTTTCCACGAGCGTGTCCACAGAGACCTGTACAGGTGTGTCATGTTCGATCAAGAACGGTCCCCAAGACCTGTACAGGTGCACGTTCGCCTTTTTTTCTCAGGGTGATTCAGCAGCTCAGCTCGGCACGGTTCGTGTGATGTTTTTCAGGATTTTGCCTTCCTGGGCGATGTGGTCTTAGAAGAGGTGGAAGAGAGCAAACTTGGAGATGACCTGTGGGAAGAGGTGCCCAAGAGTCGTCGTGTGGAAAAAAAGGGTCTCGGGTGGGCGCAGGCACTCGCACGAGTCGGTGGTGAGAGGCGCGGGCGCTTCTCGTGTGTGGGTCTGTAGGGTTGAAGCACCCGGGTGCTCCACATGCCAGCACCCGCTGCCACGGAGAAAGAGTGGATCACCTTGCCAACGAAAAACCAAGTAGGACTGAAGTCTCCAAGAACTTCCTATTACTTCAACTCACCATCTCTTATGATCTCCCTCCAGAACTCTCTCAGACCCCGGACAATAAAACGATCTCTTTACAAAGACCCATTCCATTCCATCTCGCCGATCTCACCCTCCCGTTTCGAGGCCTACACGCCCACGTCCTCCAACCCACCGCGCGAAGCCGGGCCACTTCGCAGGTCGCCGTGCCGGACGCCTTCGACCTCCGCCCGGACCGCAGCGACTGCACCTGCTTCGCCGACGCCGAGCGCTGCCGGCGCTGCTGCGACCGTGCACTGGGGCACCGCGGCGCGACGGAGTGCTGGGGCGACGTGCGCCGCCTAGAGCAGGTGTGGATCTATGAGGAGAATCCGCAGGTGGGCACCGGGCGAGAAGAACAGGTCGGTATAGGGAAGACTCTACACATGCATAAGCCCCCCCCCCCAATAGGACAAAAGGATGTTGCAATTCAAGCGGGGAGCTACATTGTACGTCCTTTTTGCTTCGCAAGTCCATGTGGAGTGGCCATGAAGACGTCTCCGACATGGGCACCGTGATCCTGTCATTGAATTTAGCCACTGCCCAGTTCATGAGCCTCCTTGGCTGTCATGTAAAGTAACGACGATGGTTGCTAGATACATTTAAGCAAACACGTCGCTTTTGCAAGTTCTAGCTGAAGCAGCTGGGCAGAGAGCTGTTATCAGTTTCACTGCTGTATACGCCATCGAGTCCGTCCGTCCTGACCGCTCATGAGGGTGCCATGACTTGCTAGCGGGTGCGCACCCACACACTCCAACGGAATGCTGAGATGGAGTTAGGGAAGCCCAATGGACCCCACTACATCTCCATCTGTCATCTGTGGAGATGGGTCGCAACCCACCCAGAGCCGAGCCCTGGTCCACCATGTAGCGAAGGACCTTCCAGGCAGGTCTCAGGTCAACCGTAAAGGGAGCTGGTCAAAAGGCAGGCTCAGACGCTACTACCTGACACTACTTGGGATGAGGACCTATCACACATGTTGGGAGGGTCCCCTGTTTGGGTGCACCATCCACCCGCCAGCTACACCTTCACCTGTCGTCAGGCGCCCTTCGATGCCTGCTGCGGCGTGCATCCCTTGCGGACGCAGCGCGGGGTGGCGCTGTACCGGACTGCACTGGACGCCAGGAAGGGCATGGGAGGGGGAGGGAGTGGACTCCGCCCCTGTTGGAAAGGGTGGAGGTAGAGTCTTAGAGTAGCGATAGTGTGGGCGAGTGGATGGAGGAAAGCATGCAGCAACTTCATGGCTCATGGTGGCATGTAACATCAACACTTAATAACACATATAAGATCTTATACCAGGACCCTCCAAGGTCTATTTATAGCTCCTTGGAGGTTAAGGGGCATTAACCACCCCTTACGGGGGCCCTGGTAAGTGGCATGTTCCGTTTCGGAGAGTGCACGTCCAGTCCCGGACGCCGCTTCTTCCACACGGCGAGGCCCCACACGGCTGGCTTGCTGCACTTTGGCGCCTGCACCCTGCGGTGCATCGTGAAGGTCGATGGCCAGGCGAGCCACCAGCTGAATGGTGTCTAAAACATTCGTCCCCCCCCTGCCAGACTCAACATGAACCCCCCCAAACGGCCGAAACCGCTGGGTTGTAGAGGACGACATGGCGAACTTCTCCGGTTCGGGCTTCTATCGGTTCCAGGGGCTTCTCCAAGTGTTTTAGCGTTCGACTTCCGGTTCAATTCAGCCTCCCTTTTTCACCACAGCACTCAGAAAGCACCGGCCCAATGGGGCATCCCCAGCCATTCAGCTTCCCCTCCGTTAGAATGAAAATAAGAGCAACTAGCCTATGACCCGACAATCTAATTTTAATTAAAGATTGTCGTCATTTGAGTCATTTGATAATAATACAGATTGAATAATAGACGATTCTCCATGAAATAACATAAAGGGACGGAAGCATCGTATAATAAGATATGAATATTAATGATCTGGCATGCGATTCCGGGTGTATCGGTCCCTCATTTCAGCACCGCTTCGCGAAAAACCGGTCTGACCGGCCCTCGCGTGGCTCGTGCGGCAGGTGCTGGCGGAGCACGCGGGGCTGTCGCCCTTTTGGGTGGAGCTGGAGGCCTCGGAGAGGGTCCAGCGGGAGGTGCTGGTGCTGGTGGACAACCGCTTTGGAGAGACACCTGGATCCAAGGGCTTTTGGAGCTGGGAAGCAGCGAAGCTTGGAAGGGTGGACGCAAGCGAGGAAGAAATGAAGCACCCCCGGCAAATGCTCAACGCATTCGCGGGTGGAATTTGAATGAACCCGCTTGAGCAACATTCATTCCGGCGCCATTTGGTTTGGCCTCCGCCCAATCTGAAGGGTCTGCAGGGCCCTCTTCAAGGCCCTTAGGCGCCAGCTTCCCATCGTCCGCTCTCAGGACACATCCGGTGCACCAGGCGAAGTACGACTGGTACCAAGCGGGAGGTTTGATTCGACCAGTTCAGCCGCTTGGGGATCACAGGACGGAAGGGACGCGAGGAACGTCTGACAGGGCAGACGGGCAGAGGGAGCGTTGGTCAATTTTTCTCCAACTGCATGGAGCTGAATGAGATCGATGAGATTTCCGGGGGTGCAAGACGAGGCTCGCATGCAATCCACCTAACACAAAATGAATCGAAATGATGGACTTGGACCCTCCAGAAGAGTTTGGGACTTCATAGGCCTATTCATTTGCATTGTGTGCCTCCCATCACGACGATGTTCGAAAGGGAGTGTTCCAACTGAGAAGCTCGTGTTGTTGCAGAAGGGTAGGACCGGGTAGGAAGTCCAGACTCCAGACCCCGGCAGTTTTCAACACAGGCAGTGCCCCTAAAACACGGTGAGGGTCCAAGCCTTTTGGTGTGTTTTTTCCCAGAACTTGGCATCAGATCATCAGATCATCAGAGGCCACCGGTTCAGAATTGAAAGGCCGACGCGTCCAATCAACGTAGACCGTCTGCGGAGGCACACGATTCAAGCGTGCAACGGTGGCTTGATGCGGGAATCCAGCTGTGCGATCATCCCATCGGTGCAAAACGACCCGACTGAAAAGCCTGACGAAAATTGGGGCATCTACAGGGGGGAACAGCAGACACTCCCGTGACATTGGAAGGCCCCACATGTCGCACATGTGGGGGATTCTGTTCTCTTCCAGCTGCAGACTGGAGGTTTCATCAACTTGCCTCAGAAGAGCTCTTGTACATCAGCTCCGTCCATGCTTCTTGGCAGGTGATCGATCGACCCTCCAGGACTCCAAGCTACAGACGGGGGGTGGTAGGGGAGGTCCTGGTAGTGGAGGGGATGGCAATCAACTTGGTCAGTGAATCTCGAGGCCCTGCACTGAATCGCAATAGAAGATGAGGTGAATCGTGAAGGATTAGGTGCGCGCACAGCGGTGACCTTCAT